CCTCTGTACCTACCTTACCTCAGGAGGTACTTCACTTGAGGTACCTACCGGCTAGGCTGTTACTGAGATGCTTGTCCCTCTCTTTACGGCTAGCCAGCGCAAATCCTCGTGGTATCTTGGTGCGGGCATTCCGTAGCCCATCGCAGTTCGGGTTGCCGTAACCACCGCACTCTGTATCATATGTGTTCATGAACCATGAAGACCTACGCAGTGTGTATTGTGTGCATCCATTTCGCTGACTGCCCGCGGATGGGTGCCGATGGCGCTCGACTCTCCAGTTGCACTACGTAACGCCCGCGAACAATCCCTACACCTACAGCACGGCGACCCCTCCAGTGAGCCACTTACAGCCGCTGCAAGGCGAATAGAATGGCGAAATGGGTACCGAGTGCTCTGTACCTCAGAAAGTATTCCGTCCGGCACAAATGAATGGTTGGACTGGAAGCACGGCAGACCAACTGGGTAGCCCACCCTCTCCAAAGTCGGCTCCCCCACTTCGGATCCAAGGATTTTTTTCCCCCATCCTCTGGGCTTCGGCGGCCGGGGCCACACTCTGCACACCCTCACTTCTTTCTCCCTCCATCGTGGATCGTGGTGCGGTACCTACCTGTGCCTGTATATCCGCACCTACCCTCCGCTCTCCATGACTTCCCAACAACAATCCAAGCATCAGGCTCTGGACCGGGGGCTATCCAGTGGGCCGTGGGCCGCAGGCAGCATACGGAGGGGAACGAAGGCCAAACGCCCGCACCGTCGAGCGGGTGTCTCCGTCTGGTGTATCAGGATTCATGAGTGACCATATCCTAGCCAAAGCTCACGTCTGAAAGAGCCAATGCAATGCATCTTCAAACTCTGCTTCCTTTACAAGTCTCGCGTGGGGTAATACGGCGTGTCAATTGGAGAATTTGGCGTCAATTGCTCGTCATCGTCTCCCTTCAATGGCTCGACATGTTCTGCAACGCTGCAAGATGTACTAATAAGCTAAGGTCACAATCAGCAGACTAACACCTTTGGCCGTCTCCTATTTCGGCCTACATCGGCCCTCCCTTGCTCAGTTGCTGAGGTATACTGTGGGTGTACCTAGCTACCTCATGTCCGGGACTACAGGTCGACAGTCGACCAACAGCGGCTATGATGCGGCGCATGATGCAATGCAGCGCACAAGGCCATGCCTGTGCTGTGCAACTGAGCTGTTTTGTCCACAACCGACTGGCTACTCTTATTGCGGCTCCGGCTCGTTAGATGACGGCCCTGCTTTGAATTCGCTTCAAGAGATGTCCAAGGTCGTAGACATGTCTGAGGTTTCAATGCAGCCCGATCTTCCAATGTCGCTATCGCTTTTCGTTCTTCTCATCCGCCGCCGATATCGCGACATCTGATGTTCATTCCCCGCGCGCCACCACAACTGGTCCAAGCTGCCGCACACTGGCTTATTATCGAGGTGGCCCAAGAAGTTGAGATGCACGTTTGCCTGCCACATGCGAGACATATTCCCCAATTCTCCCCTCATCGCTGACAGCCCAAAAGCAAGGAGCCCGTTACAGACTCAGTCAGCCCAGCAACCCTAGATATGCCGCATGCCATCTTGGCCCCGGATTCCGTTACTTGAACCTTCATCAGACCCTTTTTGCGGGCCTCATTGTGTTGTTGCTATGCGAGCCACTAGATTTGGCCCCGAGTCGGCCGCATCGGAAGCCGTCCGCGATGATGCAGATCTTGGCCCCCATGTTGCTCAGGACCAGGCTTCATGTTGGCAATAACGTTACTTTGATCCATGGAAAGAAGTCGCCTGCACCGCTTGGTCTCTTCTCGCGAGCCCGATCGCTCACAGCCCCTTAAAACTGCATGTGTGCACCCCGCGTACCCCGCGAAGTGCCAGCAGAATCTTGCTCACATGTCGAGATGCTCGCATCATCTTGACGCATCGCACCAGGTCATTTTGCCGGCAATGGTGCACCGCCTTGCTTTTGACGAGAATTTCGAATCTTATCATTCGTGCAAGGGTCTGGTCAAGGCAGCCGTACTTCCGTACCACTTGAGCTCCACAGATCTCCAAGAATGGTAGAAATGAAGACACATTCCTCTTAGTATCGTTATCTTGAGACTCCGAGGTCAACCAGCCAGGTCGAGGTCGTTCATGAGCATCAACTGAGTTTCTGGAGATAACCCTGTGCTATGAGCCGCTCCACGTCGCCCTGTCTGACATAGAATTGACTGTTCTTGGTCAAGTTGATGGCGCTGGATCCCCGGCGTCAGACGCAATCCTTATCTGCGGTTCAAGAGGTTCGAACTCACCCGTATTCGGTCTGGATCTCTCCTGCATCCTTCAAGACTCTCACGTCAATGAAGAGGTCTCGCGGCGGCTCCAAGCTACCCGTCAAGTCGATGTCCGTCCATTGCCCTTTGTAGGCAGCCAACAGATCGCCGTACTGCCTCACATACTCCTCCTCTTGCGGGCTAAGGCTGCTCGTAGGACCGTCGGCATTGCCAGTAGGGCCCCCCGTTGATGATCCCGCATTGCCTCGTACTTGTTGCCCGGCCAGGTCAAGCACATCGACTCCCTTCCATGCCAGCTCCTCCAATTTATCTGTCCGAGTTCGGTGGTATGCGAGAACGCATCGCTTATTCCTTCGCATGGAGAGATAATTGACAAGGACTGTGCAGGCTGTCGCTTGGTTGGCGGCTGGATCGAAAGAGCCCTGGAAAGGTTCAAGAACCTCCGTCACATCTTTTTCTAGGTCTCGTACTTCGCGCGTAACGGCGCGTACTATCTCGGCTTGGTACGCTGGCAAATGCGAAAGGTTTTGGGTTCGTTTAGCATGTTGCACCTGGCAAACGCGTTAGCTCTTTGCAACTACGTGACGAAAGGCTGTCTTTGGGCCTGGTCGTACCAACTTGTTGCCCAAATCGCCGTACATCTTGACAAAAAGTATTTCAGCCTGGGCAAGCGAAGGTGAGCTCGTTGTGTTGCTGCGGCTGGCGCGTCTCGTGTCGACGTTCGCGTTGTAAGCTTGAAGCTGGCGGGTACGCAGGCACGGTTCACAAGCTACTCGAGTCGCGTTGCATTGGCTTGCTTACCCTCCCGGGAGGGCCCTCGATGGAAGCGAAGAATTGCCCCTCACTTAGCGCTGCCCCACTTTGATACACAATTCACCTTTGTAAGATTTTGACTGGGCGAGAGCAAAGAGTCATCAAGGTCGAGAGGTGCCAATTCGACCCCTCAATCAGGATCAAGGAATCGAGACACAGAGAAACTGGGGATTGGAACAGAGGTATTGTCTTCTTCAAAAGGTTTTCATAACCTCATTTGTATTCATAAAAGGCCTTGAGCCCGCACTCTTTGTGCGACAAAGGACGCTGCCTTTGTTGGTGCCAGAAACTGTTGCGTTTCCTGAGCCATAACCTTTCTTGTGAGGATTCTATGGATTTTTTTTCATGTCTCCACCATCATGCCTCGTGAAATCATCCCTCCCGTTCATCATAAAGCCCCTTACAGCTTCTGCATAGCAGCAATGTCCACGGACTGGACGTAGTCCTCAAGCTCGGCAATCTCCTCCTCGAGATCAGACAAGCTGATCTTCTCATCCTCGACAACGAGGTTGATCTGGAGCTTCTTGATACCGAAACCGACGGGAACAAGCTTGGAGGCACCCCAAACGAGACCGTCGTGCTCGATGGCACGGACACCAGCCTCGAGGGCAGCCATGTCAGTCTCGTCATCTGCAATTTAGTCAGCGTCATATCCTTGATTTACAGTTCAAGGAGAAATCCTTACCCCAAGGCTTGACATCCATAGTGACGACAGACTTGGCAGCGAGCTTGGGCTTGTTGTCCTTCTTCTTCTTGTACTCAGCAAGGCGCTCCTCACGGATGCGGGCAGCCTCAGCGTCCTCCTCCTCGTCGTCAGAGCCGAACAGGTCGACGTCATCCTCGTCCTCCTCGGCGGCGGGGGCCTTGGCGGGGTTCACGGGGAGCTCAGTGGCCTCAGGGCCGTAGACGGAGTAGGACTTGGAGGCATCACCGGGGAGGGTGGCGAAGTCGCTCTCGTAGGAGGCGATGTGCTTGTACCATCTGGCGGCGTGGGGGTACTTCTCGGCATCAGGAGCGGACTGAAGAGCCTTGAAGGTGGCAACGTCGGCCTGGGAAGGGGTAGAGCTGTGCCGATTGTTAGCGGCAATGTCTTGCCCAAGTTTGCTTTTGCGAGATAAAAGTGAATGGGTAAGGCGGGGGTCAGAGTTGCACGAAGTGCTGGTTTTGTCGTCAAATAGCAGGTCTTGAGGCTGCCTCCGAAACACGGACCAATTTTCCTCATCATGTAATGCCAAAAGGGAGTCGAGAGAGGATAATTCGGGAGCGGTGAACAGGGGAGTTTTAAACTTACCCGACGATGTAGGAGCGGGTGGTGAGCCAGCTGTTCAGCACTGACACGATTGTCAGCCCGTGAAAGAAAGAAGAATCATCGCTGCAGAAACTTACTGGCAGCACCAGCATCAGTGAGAAGGTCGGCGAAGCCCATTTTTGCGTTTTGAAGAGTGTGTAGGGGGAAGGGAAAGGGGTATCTGTGGAAGAAGCAGAAGAAGGAGGATGTGTTGAGGTTCAGGTAGAAATAAGTAAGTGAAGGTGGGGTTGGGAAGGACCAGGTCGAAAATTTTGAGATTGCGGTGCTCTTCACTCAGGCTCTGAGCGGCACGGACCCCACCATCTTGGTTGCCCAGCGCCAGACCCCTCTTCGGAGTAAGGACGGGCCGGGAGAGCAGAGCCCCTGCGGTGGATCCAACGACGGGTGGGATGAGGTACCTGATGGATCCGACGCCGCCAACCCACCTCAGGCGGTAGGCAGGGAGCTCCTACGCAATTGCGGTCGATAGCTCCAAACGGGACAAGCTCGACCTTACGCCAATCGCCCTTCTCCAAATCACCATACAAACGACTACCAAAACCGGACTTCACGACAACAACCCGCTGTTCCTCATCACCCAAATCCAAGTCGAAGACACACCATGTCGTCGTCGATTCTGCCGATAATCACCTTTAAGGCTGGTATCTGCGAGGCAGATGTCAGTAGTGCAGTTCCACAATCATTGCCAGACCCTGGTTCGCTGACATCTATCATAGACCTCCAGCAAGCCTTACAAGATCAAGCCGCAGGCGACACCTGGCTACATCTACCTCTACTCCGAAGATGGTTCGTATATTCGCTACCGATATCTCTTGCAGATGCCTAATAAGTCACAGACTTGATTCACTTCTGCTGGCGAGAGCGCACCGCCACCATGGAGAACCCCGATCTCGACCTCGTCATGGTGCCCATGGACGGTGAATTCGTCGCTCACGCTGCAGCCGATCAACCCTCAGCAAAGACAAACGGTCGCGTCTTTGTCCTCAAATTCGGTTCTTCCTCCCAGAGACACTTCTTCTGGCTCCAGTCCAAGCCTCAGTCGCGCAACGGAGACCCCAGCTGGTTCAGCCCGCGCGACAAGAAGATTGGTGAAATCGTCAATGCGCTTCTCCAGGGCGAGGAGGTCAACGTGAGCCGCGAGCTGGCGCAAGTTCGCAACACCGACGACAGGCGGGACGATGACGATGACGAAACGATGGAGGATGCTGAGGGTCAGGGTGACCGGCACGAACAGTCCCAGGGAGGCAGCGGTGGTGCTGGTGCTGGCGCTACAGGAGGCGATATCAGAGAAGAAGGCGAGAATGCCAGAGAAGGTGGAGGTGATGGAGCACGAGCGTAGGTTACTTCCTCATGCATGGCTCTGGCGGTTGGAGCCTAGGGTCGTTAGAGTTACACGGGCTACATGGGCACTGGCGAGGAAAAAGACGGCCCGTCTTATGGCGTCACCTGTACTTTTAGAGCCTTTCAAAAGACAAGAGGGTTCGGAGTTTCGGCTTTTCAGCGCAGTGCCCATGGCTTGACTCTTCCATTATATGCTCATGTGCTAATCGCTTCATAGTGCTGCTGGTGGCTCCAACACTGTCGCGGATGCTGCCGTTCGGAACTTCCTGGCATCATTACAAGGCAACGCCAACTTGAGTGGATCACAGCAAAGCGGGCAGCAGCAACACGCAGACAAGCCTTTCCCGTACCTAAGCCATCTTCTTCCGAACGAGATCACCATTCCAATGCTTCGATCGGCATCGGAGGAGTTTATCGACAGCCTTTTGAGCTTTCTGCCACCCGCAATCGTCGTGCTTGCCACGGAGGCGGACGACCTGGGTGACTCTGAGCCCACGGCAGACGCTGCTGCTGCTGCCACAGCCACGTTGAGCCTTGCAGAGAAGAAGAGCCTGCTGGAGAGAGTGCTCAGAAGTCCCCAGTTCCACCAGGCACTTGGAAGCTTGACCATGGCGCTGCGTGATGGCGGTCTTCCCACAATTGCGGAGGCTCTTAGTGTTAAGGTGCCCAATGGCGGTTATATGAGGGGTGGTGCTATGCCCCTGGGCGGTGGCGAAGCGGTAGAGGCCTTTGTCGAGGGCGTCAAATCAACCGTCAAGGAGAAGAAGCAGGGCTAGATGTGGCTTGGATGTTGAGATGATAGAAATCGAAACAATAGACTGCCTGATATTCAGACCCTCGTCTGGCATCTAGCGATGATGATGATGATGTATCTGGTGAAGACCCTCTGACCTGTCTGCAGATTGAGTGCGAGAACTCCCAGGAGAAACTGAATACAGCAACACATTGTAGGTGCCTTGGGACTAGGCATTGTATGCGCCGGACATATAGAAGGTAAGGAAGTCGACACACGCCCCAGCAACTGATTGACACAAATGAGGTTCTACAAAGACAGACAGCACATTCGACATGTCTGTTCGAAGCCGCCAAATGCTGATTTTACCTCGCTTCCAGTATC